TCTATAAAGTGAGGTGATCTAATGATTACATCCGCTTTGCTGTTCTGGAGTGATTTGCAGGGCCGTTTCTGCCCGTCTGTTGTTTGTTTTCACAGTCTTCTGACCCCCCAGCGCCATTACACAAAGAGAGATGCTGCCTGACACAGCTCTTGATATCTAAACAGAGAGCGCCGAACTTTAACACGAGAAGCAAGCCCATAAAGACGTGCAATCTAACCATCAGCTCGCGTGTTGGAGGGGGGGAATTCGCCACCCGTCGGTGAGATCCACACCATCCGCTGTCGCAATAAAGCCCCATCCCTCATTCAGGATCCCAACCAGCGGTACCGCACTGTGAAAGCCCGGCCCACTAGACTCAAGAACAGCTTCTACCCCGCTGCAGTGCGCGTTCCTCAACAGCAGCTCACTGCAGGGCCTCAATGCACATCTGCACTACGCACTTTTTACATAGTCTACCGTTGGCTTTTGGTCTCACTGCTACATATTTATTTATTTTTCCACAGCATATTTATGGTTCCTGTTGTCTGCATTGTGTGGTGTTGTCTGTTGTAGTGCATGTGTCCCGAGAGACCAGCGCGATTAAGGACTGCAGTGTCCGTGTACGTATGGCAATTAACCACTCTGGTACCGGTCCTCCACTAGGCTGGTTAATGAGACGATTCAGCCCGTAGAGCCTCTTACACACCCCTTTCTTTACTGCTAACGTCCAGGGATAAACTCCACAACACAGCAGCTTTGCTCAAGTGTTCTGCCAGCTCGGGAATGATAAAGATCAGGCGGGAGCCCAGAGTGGGCAGTAAACAATCGTTATCACACCTGGAGACCAGTTCAATCCAACCCCGGTGAGCTGAGGTGGCACAGCAGAGCTCAGGATTATTCACTTTAAAAAAAAAAATTTCCCAACCCGTTCAGGTCCCTTCTGCGATCTGTCAGACTTTGTCTCCTGCTCTCACAGGTCAGGGCGTATGTAGTGCTGGCTCACTGCTGCAGCTGAAGGACAAATTCCTCTCGTTCTTTCTTACCCTTCACAGGTTTTACTTTATTCTTCCTTGGCTGTGGCTCTGGCAGACGCCGTTCGGGGGTGGGGTCTCTCGGAGTCCCAGGATGAACCCCTGTGCGGCCTTTTCACCCCGAGGGGAAGGTTTTACCATTCAGCGCACTTGTGCTCCACTGTGTGCCGTGAAACGCCCCTTGACAGATTTTTTTTGGTGAAAAACAACCTCAGCATGTTCCCGCAGCTGTTTCGAGTTTCTGCTTCGACAAAGGGAAACTGTTTGTGTTTGTAACCGGCACTTGGCGTTGAAGGAACCTTTTTTTTACTTGCTTTCTTGAACCTGGTGATGTGTTTTGAGTCACCAGATGACTTGTTTTGTTGTTGTTGTTGTAATGACAAAAGTGTAATATGGATTGTTTCGACAAATGCCCCCCATGGTTTAGAATCATCATGTGAGAAAAGTGAAAAAAGAACTGAAAAGTGAGAAAAGAACTGAACTAACATTCAGTTTCGGAGTATGTTTATTTAGCAGATGCAATAGTTTTCCTGCCTGTTTAACCCGTTAAAAACTGCACTTGTCTGTTTCGTAAGGGCTCTGG